TAAATAAAATAAAGATATACTATAAATATAATTATAAATTAATTTTAAAAAAGATATAAAGAAGCCGTGAGAGCCTGGCAAACGTTCGAGGATATCCTTCCGGGCTTTTATAGTTAAACCAATCAACTAGCTGTTGTAAGCTTTCAAGCCACCATAGCCATCATTAAACTGTTTTCTCGTGATACAAAAAAAAAGCTGGAGTTCAACCGCAAGTGTTACACGATATTCTCGAGTGCGTACTACAATTAATGATGCAACTTTCTTGTCTCGTTCCAGTTTTAACATTGAGCTTCAAAAATTTTGAAATCTATCACCTAAAAACTTCAAATGTTTAGATCAGAGGATCAGGAACTTTATGTGAAAGACAACGAAAATGAGGAAACCATCACGCTACAAGATATATCATCACAGAAGGAAGAGCCCGACAACCCAACTGATGACGAAACCCCTTTATTGCCGAATAGTTCACGTGAAGGTTCTACCATAATAGAAGACAATGCAATAAATGATGAGCTAAAAAAACCACGAGAAGGTGGAACTCTTTTTTCTAGCTTTTTAAACATGGCTAATAGTATTATTGGAGCTGGTATGTTAATAGCTGCTTTTAAAAGTAATCCATATCTTATTATTGATCTCTAACATTGATTATCGAATTTTAGGAATAATTGGTTAATATCAAAGATATTTAATTTATCACAATATTTTAATTATCCACTGATTTCAGTCTTATCACAGGTCTCCCATACTCATTTAAGGAGGCAGGCATATTTACCGGAATTATACTGCTAATCATTCTCACTATAGCAGTAGACTGGACTATTCGGCTACTAGTAATCAATTCGAAGTTATCCGGGAGAAGTTCATATCAGGACATCATGCACTTTTGTTTTGGAAAGAAGGGGCATATTGCCATATCCTTATTTCAATTTGTATTTGCTTTTGGAGGTAAAAAAAAAGAAAAGAAAAATTAGATTTTATTCGCAAATTCGCAAAATTAATCGGTTTAAATTTTTAGGGATGTGTGCATTTTGTGTCATCATAGGTTTGCTGTCCATTTATTAATTTATTATAAAGGGTTAATTTCTTAGGACAATGTTGATTAACGCCTTTTGAATACAATTATTTAGGCGATACAATTCCCAATGTCATAAAAGCATTATTTCCTACACTAACAAATACTCCGGTTCTATATTTATTTGCGGATCGAAATTTCGTGATTATATTTTGTACTGTTTTCATATCGTACCCATTAGCGCTGTATCGCGATATTACAAATTTAGCAAAAGCAAGTGGATTGGCATTGATATCGATGATCATTATTGTGTCGAGTGTTGCCATAGAAGGTCCTCTGGTTGATGAGTCGTTGAAAGGTAGAAGGGAAGGTGCATTTGCTTTTATAAGATCTGAAGTGTTTCAGGTAATATTCATTTTTATGTGTTGTAAAATAATGTTATTTTTTCTTAAACGACATTATTTCATTTTAGGCAATTGGTGTGATCAGTTTTGGTAATATTTTTAGCAATCTTTAATTTTTCCTTTCGTAGTTTTAATTAATCACAATGATTTATATATTCCAGCCTTCGTTTGTCACCACAACAGTTTACTCATTTTCGACGCATTACATAAGCCTACAATGAACAGATTTGCGGCTGTCACACATTTATCAACCGGAATATCTATGGTGGCGTGTATGGTGATGGCTGTAGTTGGATATTTGGTGTTTACCGATAAAACACAAGGTTTTTAAAAATATTTGTTAATATTCAAACTTCACGCTAAATTTCTGTTAACTAACGGTATACACAAAAACTATTATAGGAAACATTTTAAATAATTTTCCTGATAATGACTTTATAATAAATATTGCAAGATTCTGTTTTGGCTTCAATATGTTCACAACCCTCCCATTGGAATCCTTCGTATGCAGAGAAGTGAGTATTATTTTATGACATTGTATATTGCGTCATAATAGTGGGTGATTATATTTTACCTCAACTCAATATATATTTTAGGTAATTAATAATTCCTTTTTTTCTCAAGAACCTTTTTCACTTGTAAGGCATGTTATTATTACCACTTCATTAGTTGGAGGTGCAATGATTATTTCACTTTTGACCACTGACCTTGGTGTAGTACTCGAAATTACTGGTGGATTCTCGGCAACAGCATTAGCTTATATTCTACCACCACTTTGTTTCTTGAAATTATCATCGGGGAGGTGGTTAAGCCTGAAAAAGCTACCCGCGATATGTTGTGTGGCATTTGGAATTTGTGTAATGACATTGAGTACATTTTTAAGCATTTTGAATCTTATAAAGTAAGATTTTCACGTGATACGATTTATTATCGTAAGAAGTTAAGAGTTTATGTAGTAAAATAATATTAAACTCTAGCAACAAACACGCAGCGGCTCTCATAAAAAATGCACCACTAGCATTGATTTATGCATTTAAAATTAGATCATGATCAGATCAATGACATATAGAACGTATTAATTGATCTAGGGATTGTTAATATTACAGATTTTTTTAAAATTATAAATACAATTATATGAATGATTTATTATTCCATTAACAAGTCAGATAAAAATCTTTTCATCTACTAATATTATTGTTTGCAGGTTATTATTAAAGATTATTTTATCGAGTTTTAGTAACCAATCATTTTATTTTATATATAACTTTTTTATCAAAATTATCATAAAATCTTTTTTTTTTTTTCACTTTTTTTTCTTTGATTTTT